GTTAAAAGGCTCGTTTTGCCTTTCATCTTGCGGACTGTTTTCTGCAGATATTTCCTAACTTTTCCCATGACGTTTTCGTCTCCTTCTTCAGAAGATTGTACAGACTGAAAGAGACTATTGTTTCCGCAAGAGCGCAAGCATGTGCACATTGGCTGATCTGGTTGGTACAGGATTTCGGGAGTGGGTGTTGGACTGAGAAACAGGATTGGGATGTGTGCAGCTACAAATTCTTGTGAATGGTGTGCTCTCTGGTTCTGTAAATAATATCACATTTCACTTTCTAGGTTTGCCATTTGTGTTTCTCTAGAAGTTGAACTCCAGTACCATGAGACGTAAACAAGGAAATGGTGTACAGGAAGATTGCAAAAGCTTTGGTTAGCAGAGATTGGAAAGCTGGTTTGGTTTTCAGTCTTGTGCCTGGGTGGGTATCAGCTACTTGATTTCAGGGAGACTCAGCGCATTTATTTTTCACAAACGTCATGGGTTTAAAATTGATACTTTATTGACTTTCTTGCTTTCTCCTTCCCCACGTTTGGGTTTTCATTTTTGAAGTACAGGATAGGCAAAAAAGTAGTTTTTAGCCTGGGATTTAGGAGGCAGACTTTGGCATGCTTGCCAGCTCTTGAGACGCTGCAGTCTGAACCTTGCATTGACAACAAACTCTTTCTGCAAAGCAGTTTGCGTACATCATACGATACGGTGGGTTTTTCTCAACTGGATGGTAACACCAGGGAGCAAAAAAAAACGCTGGTAGTTGGTTTTGTTTTACACCCAGGATCTTGTTGGATGCAGCCTCGCCGCAGATTTGTTTCCCCTGTTGGGAGCGTTACCTAGAAGATGGTGCTGGGATAACTCCAGCTTCCTGGTGGTGACCCAGATCTCTGCTGGCGATAGATCTCATCTCCACTGGGCACAGAGTGAGAACAGCAGTTATGTTTTCAACTGCTTGTCCGTAGGCATGTTCCCATACAGTGTTTCCAGGCTCGTCAGCAGCCTTGCAGCCCCTTGGCTATTGCTGCTGACGTGCCCATGTCTGGTGGCGAAAGGCGGGGTTTGCTTCCACGGTCTGGTTTCATGTAGGTCTCATAAGAGGGTGTGAGGCAACTCCAGGGTGTTTTTACATACTACTTTATGTATGTGTGAGACAGCATAAAAACCCTTGGATTTTTTTTAGCAGTAACAACACTGTATAACTGATAATTTGCTGTATCTCAATTTTAATGCAGTTTCCTTGCTCGGTCAGGAATAGTTGGTGCTTGTGAATGATTCCTTGGAACTAGGGGATGCAGGCTGGGAAGGCTGAGACTTGCTGGTAATTTAAGAATTGATGAGGATTGATACCGTGGTTTGCTGATGGATTTTGTCTGGCTGAGATGCTTTTTGACGGATGCACAGGAATTCCCAGGTGTTGATAAAAGCACTTGACCATAGCCAATTTTGTAACAGGATAGGGAAGAGAGATTGTGAAGTCAGGGGTTTGTCTGGTTCCTTTTCATCTACAGACTATCTTATTTAGCAAAGAGCTTCCAGCCTTACTCATAGTCACACGTGTTTTTAGCACCTCTGCACCAAACTGCTGTGTTGGCCATCCTTGAAGGGTTTTTCCAATGCTCCTATGGGACACAACATGGGTCAACTACCTTGCTTCACACACCACCGCACTGCTTGCCCAAGTGATGTTTCTGAATTTGCGCCTCCTTTTCAGCAGCTCAATGGGTACAGTACAGAGCATCAGTCTGTGAGGCTGCCTCTTCCTATCTGAGACTACTTTTGTGTTACACAGAGTCCTTGCTACAGCCAGGAATATTTGAGGCGTGTTTTTGCTGACGGTTTTCTGCCCTGCACTCCCAAGAATTGGATGTAGGGCAGTTTGGAGGGTTCCTAGCAATGGAACTCCGTATTTACAGTCAGCGAGTTTATTAGAGCCCTGAATTATTTACCTTAAAGAATTCAAGCCCTGAATTATTTACCTTTAAGGTCTGTCTTCCTGCGTTGTGCATTTGGTTGACTGTAGACCTATGCTCTGTTATAATGTATGCATGTCTGAGGCAGCACGATACCTAGCGTGGTTTCAGCTATTTGCTGTTAATTTTATTTTCATACACAAATACATTACAATATATCCCAACACAAGAAAGATATGGACCTGTTAGAATGAGTCCAGAGCAGGCCACCAGGATGATCAGTGGGCTGGAGCACCTCTCCTATGAGGACAGGCTGAGAGAGT